AACTATGCAAATGTTTATACTGTGTTACCCAAGACTCAACGTGGCATTTACGTTCTTCAGGGAGGGCAATGACTGAGGTGTAGGATGTAGTCCTAGGGTAAGGAAGATGAATATTATTTTCCTCAACCCCTATATTAACCGTAGTTCAGCGGAGAGCCCGAAGTGATTGACTGGTGAGAAATTACTGCTAACAGAATCGTCAAGAACGTCCTGCTATGTAAACTCGCCAACAGAAGTGCATGAACGATCTCATGCAAACCGAAGAGAGAGATGATGGTGCAGGAAGAAGGCATCGTTCATATCATGATGTACTGAAACAAAGTACGATGATAATCATATCGTCTGTTTTTTGAACCGTGAAGGAAATCCTTAAGCAAGATACTTCAATCCAAGTCATAAATCTGCATATTAACGAGGTTCAACCCTTTGTAGATGATGCAGCTTCGGCATTCTAACCAAGGAGAAGGAGCGATGACCAATGTCGGTGTACTAGCCAAGCGGTGGTAACTCCGGTTGATGTACCTCTTATTTTATTTCGAGATAGATTTGCCTATGAGGGACGCACTCGATGTGAACCTTCAAGCAACCATTGAGACTTGCTATCTGTATCAATTTCCTAAAACATGTGGCAAAAGTTGTTTAAAACTGCGTAAGGCTTGCTTTCGAAACGGGAGACGACAACCCTTAGGCATAATTGGTAGAAGATCGGAATTGATAGAAGAATAATACTTGATTGATGATACGTGGAAACGGAAGGAACAAAGGTTTTTCGCACTTGCTTGATTACGACTGTGAAAATTGCAGCAATCACTTTGTTCATACTTAGACATTCATGTTGCGATCGTTCATGCGATGAACATAGAATGGAATATATCAGTGCCACTGGGTTTGTACTCAGAAAAGTGCTTTAGATTTCATCTAATTTGCATGTAGCCTTGTCTTATCTCATATAACATATAGTTTTGATAACTCCTGCTTTCAGGTGCATTATGGACGCTCAAAACGGTATTGGTGTACGCTGTGCGGGAACTCACTTCTATTCTTCAAACGTCCTACTGCCAAAGTAAGTGGGAGATATGGGATTTGCTTTATATCACTCTCTCGGCTGTGAATGATGGTGCTTAAGCATTTCTAAATAAGTACGATTATGCCTCGCTTGAGGCAAGATTGTGTTTTGGTAACAGCGGTATTCAACTTAGGTGCCTAGAAGTTATTTGTGCTTGGAACAGTCAAAGATCCGAGAAGCGCCTCGTTCTTCAGAGGAAGAATCTGATGCCAGCGATGGTTTACAGTCGTCCCAACAATATTCGGTCGAACTGACTACCGCAGAGGGGGACTCTGTGTACTTGATTTTTCTCTCTGCTGAAGACAAGGTATGATTTAACTGTTTGTGCTGAATCGTATTATATCCGAGCTCTTCTAGGAGAGGTGGTTGTATCATTTTCAAGTTTCTTCCGTTGGCGGTCCAAAGCAATACGGTACTCCTTTCGAACAGCTAGTCAATAGGCTCATCAAAATCGACGGGCAAGCAGGTAAAAGCTGATTGTTCTCCTTCTGTCGACGACTGCGTTGTACTCTTCATCATT